AGGGAATACACAGAGTCACTGTATCAGAAGGAATTGGCTGACACAGAAGAATTTCATGAAATGACATATGAGCAAGAGCCTATGGTGATGAAAGAGGAAGTTCAAATTGCTCTGAAGGAATTGGCAAGAAACAAGGCTCCAGGAGTTGACGGCATACCAATTGGCATATTTCAACAAACAGACACTTGCCTGGATGTGCTCACTAAGTTGTGCCAAGAAATTTGGAGAACAGCCAGCTGGCCCACTGACTGGTAAAGATCGATATTTGTTCCCATTCCAAAGAAAGGTGACCCAACTGAGTGTGGAAATTATCGAACAATATCATTGATATCACATGCAAGCAAGATTCAGCGGAAATTTTCCAAAAACATTTGGAACAATATGTCTTAGGATTATGGGATTTATTAGGGAACCTACAACATAGGTTGGCAACAGGATGCAATTATCAATCAGAATAGCTTCTGTAATTTGCTTGTAGACTCTTCAGTCTTCAGTCTTGTGGTTTTAGGCCAGAAACTCTCTTAGTCTGACCAATGTCCCCTTTACCCATACTTCAGCAAACTTGGACAAAGGACTCTGGCTCTGGCTCTGACTCTGGCTCTGACTCTGGCTCTGTGGGACAGCAGTTCCAGGTCAGCTCTATGTTGGGTGATGGATTTTTAGAGAACAGACTTGCTGTTGTTTTCCTTCCCAAGTTTTGCAAATGATTGATATCTAATGTTTCCCCTCTTTTCCTTTAGTGGACAACTTTTCACAGCGAGAGATTGAAGAATTTCTCAGTGAGGCAGCATGCATGAAAGACTTCAACCACCCAAATGTCATTGGACTTCTAGGTACTTTAGAGAAATGTTGGGATAGCTTGTGAAGGGGGCTTAGCTCTTACAGCCTCTATCAAAAGAAATAACCCATGGTGCAGATAAATTTATCATTCATGTTGTTTTTTATAAACAACCCATCAAATTGGAACTGACTCATAGCTGACCCTTTGGAGGTTTTTAAAGGCAGTTAAACACACGAGAGGAGATTGCCTATCCTTATCCTGCAGAACAGCTGTTTTTGAACTGCATGCCTTCAGGATTACAGTGCAGCTTCTTGCCCCTAGGCCACCAGTGCTCTCTTTATCTTTCATATAACCCTAAATTAATTCACTGTATTGGTATTTTCACTGAGAAGATTTATCCTTGCAGTTATATTCCCTATGACCAGTATAGTAAAAGTGGATTTGGACTTCATAAACACAGGTGGGTTAGAATGTTTGCAGAGTTCTCAAATTGTGGATTTAAAATTACCTCCTATTACTCAAAGGAAAGATATGAGAGCTGATCATATTATAATTCTGATTTATTTTAAGATCTTAATTAAGTTTTAAATATGGATTTCTTATGCTTATAGTACATTGATGATTTCAGGGGAAGTAAAGTAAAAATTAGAAGATTAAACCAATTAGAAGATAGGTTTGTAAGTGTAGCTAAAAATGATAAAGGTGAGATCAGATAGAGTGAGTCCTGTGTGGGTGATGGTATTTCAACAGAGATAGATGAGCAACCCTGAAAATACGAGTTCTTTAATACTTGATCTGACAACATATAAGTCCATGTCCCATAAGATTATGCTTGAGTTCAGAAATCTCAACTATAGAATGAGTCATAGTGAATGTATCTAAATAAAGCAAACTCAACAGCTTCCTCCATGCAAAACATACATCTCATGTCTCTTATATACAAAACAATTTCACTACTGTGCATGTACTGTTATGTTGTTTCTGTTGTGTGCCATCAATTCAGAATGAACTCAGTTATGGCCTTACACCAGGTTTTCAGAGTCTATAAATCAGAGTCTATAAATGGGAGGAAATTACCCATCTTTCTCCTGCAGAGCAGCTGATGGATTCAAACTGCCTGTCTTTAGGCTGTTAGCACAACTCCTTTCCACTCAGCCACCAGAGGGCCCTATATAATGGTATGTTACTGTTGTTATGTGCCATAGAGTTGGAACTGACTCACTACCAACCAATCTGGCAGGTTTTCAGAGGTTGTAAATCTCACAAGAGGAGATTCCCTATCATACTTTTAGAACAGATGGTGGATTTGAATGATATACCTTTGGGTATGCAGCTCAGCTCCTTACCACTAGGATATAATGGTATTTGTACATGTGAAATCTACAATATACATGCTTATGGTCATAATGAATGTCAAAGTTCCCAGCTTTTGTGTGCACTGTATTGATTTCTGTCATTATTTTAATGTATACTTTTCCGATTTACAAATTGACAGTTAATGTTTGTTGGTATATGCTTTGATACATAGGGAACAGTATCCTATCTTGTGGATCATGTATGTGGCTCCGGAGTATTTGTAGTGTCATGATTCCCAAATGCAGCAAACCAGTCTAGTGATAGCAGCAAAGAAGAAGTGTTAATCTGGACGTGAAACAAGGTTATTAAATAATCCAAAGGTGGTGGAAAAATCAGTGAATGATTTTTCCGGTGATGTAGGCTGTTTGCTGAATATATAACATAGTGTTCACACTGTGTCCATATCACAGTGTTCTGTATCACTGAACATTGTAGATATTAACATTGCATAACTGTAATTGAACTTTTTGCTGACCTCTTTGTTGCTATTCTGTGATTTAATATATGATAAATTCTTTTGCAATCTTTCAAAGTTTTGAATGATTGAAAACAAATATGTGGATACAGTATTGTATCAGAGAAACTACTCCTATTCATTAGCAAATCTTGACTTTAACAGACTATGAGAAGTGCATTTTGTAATTCCACCATGATGTACAAGGAATTTGCAACCCTAGAATCAGATGAGTGAGCTCTGGTGACCCTGTGGTGCTACCAACTTAGAGAGAACAGTTCTAATCCAGCTGCTCCTGGGGAGAAAGATGGGCAGTCTCCTGAATTGTTTGTAGCCTCTGAAAACCTGCTGAAGGGGCAGCTGTGATTTGGTTCTGACTTAATGGCAGTGTGTTTGAGTTTTTAGAATCAGATGACAAGTCCAAATACCAGAATCCTATGATAAATGTTGTTACAGCTTTCTCGGAATGTATCTATGAGCATTCACAGACATGGATTTTTACCTTTAGGCTCTCAAAATTATTTTATCAATTTGTTTGATTGCAGGATTTTTTTTAATATGATTAAGTGTTTAGTTATTCCATGCAACTGGTTTGTCATTGAATCCTAGTGTGGCCAGTCCCCCTTTCTTTAACTCACCAGAACAGAAAATCCATGAGTCTTTAGGTGATCAAACCATTTAGGGATGGATTTTTTTTGAGGATGCTTATGCAGAGCTGTGGGGAGAGACAAGAAGACCTTTGTGTGCCTATATGGTATAGCCCAGTGTGTGAGTCACGAGATTTAAGTTTTTTAAGTGGCGGGCTCCAGAGCACATGGTTTTAATTTGGTCAGTGTTCCTCTAGTGTTTTCTTCTGGTAAGAAGTAGCAAGGACAATTTGTAATGTGGTTTTTTTTTTTTAATACTTTTCAGGTGTATGCCTAGAAATGAGTGCTCAAGGCGTCCCAAAGCCAATGGTTATTTTGCCCTTCATGAAATATGGGGACTTACATACCTACTTACTTTATTCCCGACTGGATACAGGGCCAAAGGTAAGAGCCCAAAGGCATTGTCACTGAATCATTCCCAAGGCTTTGATTGAAGGGGAACAGACCACCCTAGTGCTTGGTCTTAAAAATAAAGGAGGCAGGGAGAGGATGTTGGCCTTTGTTCACTCCTCACTGTGTACTGGGGATTGAAATACAATCTCCATATGCACTATGGGCCTGCTCATGTTGTTGTTGCTAAGTGCCATCAAGTTGACTATGACTTAAAGTGACACTGTGAATAACAGATCTTAACCTTTCCCTATCTTGTACTGTCCTCTCACTCCCTGCCATACTCAAGACCATTGTCATAGTCACTGTGTCAGTCTGTCTCATTGAAAGTCATCCTTTCTTTCCCTGACTAAGTACTTTTCCAAGGACTGACATCTCCTGACAATCTGCTTGTAGTGTGTGAGAAGTTTCGCAATCCTTGCCTCGAAGGGGCACCCTGATTGCTACTCCTGCAAGGCAAATCTTGTTTTTCTTTTAGTATTCTGTCAATACTCTTTGCCTGCTCACAGATATTATTGCTTCCACTTTACAGGGAGAGGAAATAGGATGGGGGTCTAACCTCAAGGCCTAAACTTCACAGGATGGGGAGCCAGTGGGCAGGCCCCTCTTCCCTGCTCTGCACCGAGCCTTGGCCATGCATTCCTACAGTTCAGATGTTGGGATACCCCTACAATAGTTTTCATTAAAAAAAAAATCTTATTGTGCTTCTTCACAAGATTCTGTCCTTTGAAAAACTTTGTTTATTCTTGATGAATATTTTATTTTTTAATCTGTTGAGATGAGTTACAATCAATTAAAGACAGTATATAGTGCCAAGGGGTAGAATTTAAATATTTTTAAAACCTTGTAATATTTGACTCCTGTCTTAGTTTCCTAGTGCCACTAGAATTTAAATATTTTTAAAACCTTGTAATATTTGACTCCTGTCTTAGTTTCCTAGTGCCACTATAATGGCATCAGCAATATAAACACAAGTAGGTGTCTCTAAGAAACAGGACAAGCTCCTTCTTTGTCTCTTTTGGCTCCTGGTAGCTGCCACCTACCCTTAGCATTCTGAGGCCTGTGGGTTTATCTGCTCTGCCTTCACATTGCCTCTCCCCTTTTGGATGTCTGTGTGTATTCTGCTCTTTTCGTAAGATATCACTCAGGAAATTTGGATGCATGTTCTATTCTGCTCTGTTCTGGCCTCAGAGTCATATTTACAACTGCTATAGGGGTTAGAACTTCACAGTAACTTTCTTGTGAGACTTAGTTTAGGGTTTTTTTATCCAGTAAGGAACATTTGCTGTACAGAGGTAACTCGTGGTTGCCATGATGCTAAACACTGTGACACTGGCATGTCAAATGCAATAATGGTTACCCATGGTGGACAATGTTTGGTGGAGCTCCCCGATTATAACAAGGTTGGAAGCAGGAGTGGCATCCATCTCCAAAATAGCTTGTCTCTGGAAACCCTATGAACATGAAGAAACAATGAAAATTATACAAGTGTTGAGGTCTTTCATTAATAGGGTTGCTATGAGTCCTCTACTACTCAACAGCACTTAACAACAACAACAAGGAAAATTTTTATTTAGAATTAGTTAGCTGGATTCCATGTACATGATCCCAGTTTTGTTGGCAACATCCAAGCATCATAGTTAGGAGCAAGTAAAATTTAGGCCGCCTTCTCTCCATCAGACCTAATCAAGGCATTGACCTGGGCCACATGGGTCATAGGGCTTCTTTACAGCTTGTTTGATTTGGTGCATGTTGGCCATGACATCCACAATAAACTTAAGTGTGTTGTTATCTTCTATCTTCTTCATGGCAGACTCAGTGGTGAGGGGAAACTTGATGATGGCCTCGTGGTCAAGCTTGTTTCTCCTGGGGTCTTCTTCCAGGGGTATCTGGGCTGCCTTCATAGTCTCAGTGTCTTAAGCAATCAGAAGGTGGATGACATGTGTACCTTCTTTTTTTTTTTGTGGCTGTGGATGCCCTTCAGGACTGCCTTCTTGTCCTTTAACACCTTTGCTTTGGATTTAGTTTTGGAGGGGAAGGAACTTCATTCGTCACACTGGCACCATCTTCCTAAAAAAGATTGTGGTTAATTTAATCCATCACAGTGCCCTCTGTTGACTTCTCAGCCCTGCTAACTTCTGTAAAGCCATGGTAATTTTGGACATGGTTGTGAAAGAAGCAGTATTGATTCATTCTAAGAAATATGGGACTACAAAAGCCAAGACATGGCCTCCTTGAAGCTCAATCTCTAATACTGATTTAAGGTTTAAGGTAAAGGATATACCATTCTTTTCTATGCTTGCTTCTTTTTTTAAAAAAAATTTATTGGTTCATCAAATGATACTTAATATAATTATATCTTATACCCATGTATTGATTACCTTACAATATATATTTTTTCCTACTAGTTTATATTTCTAAAACTCTAATATGAACTCAAACAAATTCTTTCAATTTCCCTCAACCCCCCACCCATGAAATTGTACAACTCATTGATTAATTCTCCTGCCCCCCTCCACACATCCACATCCCTCTGCTTTCAGCCTCTCCCACCCCTCTTGGATCGTTATACTCATTCTACAGTAATAGTCTTATACAATATTTATCTTTGTGGGACTGAGTTAGTTCACTCAGCATAATGCTCCCAAGTTAGGTAAATTTACAAAGTTTTTGCTCCTGCATGCTGCATAGTATTCCATTGTGTGAATGCACCATAATTTCTCAATCCATTTGTTTGTGGTTGGACATTTGGGCTGTTTTCATGTTCTTGCGACGGTGAATAGTGATACATTGGTGTACAAATCTCAGTTTTTGCCTCAGTTCTCGTTTTCTCAGGATATATTCCAAGTAGTGGAATAGCTGGGTCATATGGAATTTCTACGTTCACCTTTTTAAGGAAGCGCTAAACTGCCTTCCAGAATGGTTACACTATTTTACAATCCCACCAACAATGTTTAAGAGTTCCTTTCTTGCCATGTCCTCTCTATCATCTATTACTTTCTGCCCTGTTAAACTTTGCCACTGTTACTGGAGTGAGATGGTACCTCATTGTGGTTTTGTTTTGCATCTCTCTTTTTTTATTATTAAATTTTATTAGTTTTAATGAACATTTACAGAGATTTGGGTTTTCATTCATTCGCTGTTGCACTGTTTTCTCCACCCTTCTCCCCAGTTCGTTCTTCTTTCCCACCCCCATGTCTGTTTTAATTGTCCAATTGCCACAGTGCTTGTGAAAGCCAGTTCTGATTAATCTCCTTTGTCAGTGTGTCC